AGTCTCTCTGTGTGTATGAGTCTGTGTGTATGTGAGTCTCTGTGTGTGAGTTTATGTATGTATGAGTTTCTTTTTGTGTGTTATGTATATTTAATGTGTGTGTGTGTGTGTGTGTGTACCTCTGTGTGTGATGGTCAGCTTTACCTGTCACAGAATTAAGACTTTCACTCCTCTGATAATAAATAAATAAACATCCTGACCTATTTTTCAGCAGAGAGACGTTTTGGAATCTCAGATCACCAAATCCTTCTTTCGTTGTCCTTTTATTGCCCCTGGGATGAGAGAAAATAGATTATAGCTGGGAAACAGCAAGGAGCTGGAGGAAAAAATTAATGAAGTACATTCATTCATAGAAACAGCCCCCCAGTCGGATTTGAGTAATTAACGCCTCGCACATCTTTCTGACGGTCTCTTTGCATCTCCACTGGGGCTAAAAACACGTTTAAAGAAACTTAATTACTTGCAGTTGTGTTTTGGAGCACCGTTTTGCAGGGCGGGGCTAAGATGGTGGAAATACCTAGGTCAAGGTGAAGGTGAGGCTGTCTCTCCCCCTTCAGTGCCTCACTCACAGGTGCCTTCTGCCTCCTTTCTGAAGGGGAGAGCACAGACTGCTGTGGCGTTGACAGGAAGCCATTAAGCTACTGTGAGGACAGTGACTCGAGCCAGGCACAAGTCTAGCTGCTTTACTGCATCAGCTGAATTTGAGAAAAGTCTAGCAAACATCATCCCACGTAGAAAGGCAGACTATTTAGCAAGCACAGCTCCGATCCAAGTAATATTTAGGCACTCTGCTAAGGCATTTTCCACAAAGAGATTAAATGATTTTAAATTGTGTTAATTTGTTAAAATTCATTAAATACATTTACTATCATGAGCCATCATTGTTACGCATCTTAGCTCATCTAATTAGTCGGTTCGGCTCACTCTCTCTCTTTGCAGACATTGCCTGGGCTTGATCAAATGCTTCCTGGGGATTCTTTTCCTGCACAATGGCTTCTTGACAACTAGTTAGTGAACTGATCTAACTTCACAACCCTCATGCTCTCTCCACATGGGTTAACCTTGTCTCTTTGACCTTGAACATCCTCTTCTCACGGCCACAAGAAGCCCTGTCTGTGACATGCCTTGTCTTTTCAGCTTCTGCTTTCACGTCAGTTCCACGTTGCTTCTGTCAAGCACCCTGTCCCCACTGTGACCTCTTAGGCTCTCTCCTTCATGGCTCCTAGCTGAGTTTTTATTTCACACTTCTACTTACTTGTTTACTAGTCTCTCTCTCTCTCTCTCTCTCTCTCTCTCTCTCTCTCTCTCTCTCTCTCTCTCCCTCTCTCCCTCTCTGTCTTTCTCCCTCTCTCTCTCTCTCTCTCTTTCTCTGTATGTGTCTGTGTGTCTGCATGTGTGTACTTATCACACATGTAGCATGTGCTTGGAGGTCAGAGGGGGTTCCTTTTCTTCTCCTTCCACATGGCTTCTGGGAATGTCATATTTGGCATCAGGAGCCTACACCTGCTACGTTATCTTGCCAGTCCCACCAAGAGATTTTGGCTTGTGCATTTGTCAGGCTCTCTCAGAATGTAGAGCTCACCATTTCAGCTATATTGATGGACCACTGAGTCACAGTTACCGAGTTGTCTCTGCCCCTCCCAGTGCTGAGGTTACAGATATGAGCAACTATTCTGTGTTTTTATATGGCTTCTGGATCCAAACTCTTGCAAAGCCAACATTTTACCCACTGAGCCATTTCCCTAGCCCCTCACCTGTGTTTTAATGTAGAGCTGTCTGACAAAACCATTGAGCTCCCGTCTTGACCACCGTAGAGACTTGAAGATTTGTCTTCCTGGGTCTGGGTTTGTGCCTGACCTACAGTAGGCTTATGCGGACTTGTGGGACTGCACACAGGACTTTGGGCTTCTAGGACAGACCTCAGGATCACCCGATATGTTTCCCTACCTGGAATTTTATGTGTAGATCACAGGATGCAATATGATAAGTACACTGAGTAGGGACGGTTGCTGTGGAACTTGACCCTTTAGAAGCTGACAGTGCTAGTTCATGATTTCAATCACGTCTTCCATTTTTCCCTTTAATTAAAAATGATCGGATGATTGTATTATCCCTTGTAGCTTTTTATTTTATTATTCTTTTTCCTTCTGAGTAAAACTGATTCATAAATCTAGTGTACACATTGAAGTTTCCTCAAAGTTCTGAACATGAATGACGGACTGTTTCCTGCATCTTTCTTTCAGCATCCTTCAACAGACCCAGGCCTTCATCCTTGGGAGGCTCCATTGTGTATGGCTAAACTTCTAAATGAGCCGTGAGCGTGGGTGTGCCCTCCACTCCACTCTTTGCCATCTTGCTCACTTGTTTCCAGATCCAAACACATAGCTCCCAAATGACCTTTCAACTCCAGACCTCCCTCTTCATTCCCGTGAGCCAGTCTCAGTCTTAATTCTGCTTTTCATATCTCCAGCTCGGCCTCAAACGTCTAGCCTCTCATCTTTTTTCCTGGCCTCCAGGGCTCCAACCTGTCTTCAGAATCACTGCAAGAATATCTTTCTATGTCTCAAAACACCATCAAATACCCCTAACACTTTAAAATTCCTCTCCAGATCACTGTTCCTGCTGGATAAAATCCAAATGTTCAACCACAATAGTCAAGATTTCTGGCCCAGAGTCTTCAGAGTCACTGATATCACTGTGTTCTCCAGCTATCTTCTCGGATAGATCATACACAGTGGCCTCTGAGCTGTCCCTACTCATACACCCACAGTCTAGATTAGATCACTCTGTATGTCCTCCAAATCTGGAAATATTCACCATTCTTCCAGGTCAAGTTCAAATACATCTTCCCTATGAGTTCCTCCAGTTATTGCTTTCTCTCTGAGTTCCTTTGGCACTTCTACTTTGCCATTAGTTTGCCTGTAAATTCATTCATTCACTCACTCATTCATTTACATAGCAAATAGCTATTGGACTCTATCCAAAGCAGTAGCCAAAGAAGACAGCAGGAGCATGTGCATGAAGCTTTTACCATGGTTAGAGAGCAGGCCCTAACTGACTAAACAATTTTAGCAGAGCAGGTGCCCAGCTGTGGGTCCCACGGTGGAAACCCAGGGAAGCTTTCCATGGCAGTGGCTCCCAAAAACTCGAGAAAGTCCGGAGTTCCAAGAGTTTTATTGTTCATGGTGTGTGATAGATGGTCTAGATGGGCACCCCCTACTTAAGTCAGAGTGGGCCTGGCTTAAATAGGGGAGGGAGAAGAGGAGGGTCACTTAATTTAGCTATGCCCTCCAGTCTTTAGGTAACTCATGAATATGGAAATCTCTCGAGGCTGAAGCCTGAAGTCACGCCCTCTACCCGTGTGTGGATGGTGACCCAAACCTCTCTGGGAGGGGCTGCTTAGCCAAACGTGGCTGCAAGGCGCAGGTTAATGGAGACCTAGACCGCATGTCAGGAGTCTGGAATCCAGGGGCATGGTGAGATATGTGCGGTCCCTACAAAGGCAATGGACACCTGTTGGGTCTCCAGCTACCTCAAAATCAGTGCTCTACCTGGGAGACCAAATCGTTCTTTCATGGTCCTACACCCCAGGGTGCTCACTTTCTCTCTGAGTAGATCGATGCTGGGTATTTTTCCTAGAGCATAGGCTGAGTTGCCCCCACCTACTCTCAGAAATTCTTGAATGGTAACTAATATATTCACAAATAACAAACAGATAAACCATCTGTCAGTGTTCATATGCAATAAAGAATTATTTTGCTGCATAGGGTCTTCTGTGTCTCTGTGACAAGGGTTCTCTGATTGGTCCTTGCACTTAGCAGGTTGCCCTGTTTCATCCCTTCTTTGTGTCATGAGCATTAATTCTAAGTTTTGACAATCCTCACAACATGTTTTTCAGTGGGGAGATCTCCTTCTTAGCTTTGCACAAAGGTCAGCAAACAGCAGACTGAGAGTGGAGATTTGGTTGCAGGCAAGCAGTTAAGTGCTTGTCTCTTGCCCAAGTGTCAATGAGCTGTGGAGGAGGCCAGGGTGAGTGACTGACATTGCTCAGGACAGCCTAGGCTAAAAACTGAGAGATATTGGAAGGAAAGGGCTGGGAGAGGGAGGGGGGAAAGGGAGAAGAGGGAGGGGGAGGGGAAGAGGGGGAGGGGAAGAGGGAGA